ATCCAATGTTTATTGTGGATTTCCCATTCTCTAAACAAAAGCAAATTAAAGGAAGAGTGGTGAGGTAAGGGAACATGACCAGAGGGAAGTCAAGGTACATTGTATGCATATATGAACATGTCAAAATGAAACCACTCGTACAACAAATTAATGCTAAAAACAACAACAACATGTAGTGCAATGATGAAGAAAGCTTTGTATATGTTGGCACTACTAATCTAGAGACATCTGGGAGGGGAACAAATCCCTGTGGTATCTAAGCAGCAGGCTTGCTATATACATACAATTGTGTGTTGTGCCTACTAAGACCAGGGACTGAAGTTTAACTATGGCTGTTTGTTGAGCTGTACACAGCCAGCTAAGGCCCAGCTAACAGAAAAGTGCCTTCTACCACAGGTGTCACAGCAAGTACAAAGGGATGCATTTGCCCAGGCAGACTCTACTACTTTTTAAAGAAAGATTTCATCATCTAATGGCACACTACTAGACTATGTACTGGAGAAGGATCTAACAAGAGATGAATCCATTCTCAAGGCTATCCAAGGAAAAACATGGGTGATGGGAGGCCAAGTTCAGCCTACGCTGCATTGAGGGGTTACTGCCATGAAGGAAAGCCAGATACTCCTGGTAATTCTAAATGGTTGGAGGTCCTTCAATGTGAGCAACTGGTGTTGCTTTTGTCTCCTGTTTGGTGTTGTCCTCACACAGATCATGTTGGAGGAGGAGGAGGTCCTCAAAGGTCCTGGCTGACTTGGAAAGTTGCTTTTTAGTGTGTGTGTGGGGGGGGCGGGGGGAAACGGTCATTAAGCAGCACATACTGGTTTAGAACTCATGTGCCTCTTAACTCAGCTTCCCAAGTGCTGGGACTAGCTGCAGGCCTGCACCACCGTGCTCAGAACTGCTATTCTGTCCCATATTCTGTTCACTTTTCTAACTGTCCTCTGCATAAAAATGTTGCTCAAATTTAGTTGAAAGCAAACTGCATTTAGGACACAAAGCCAACTTAACATGTCCACAGTGAAGTAAAAATTTGATATAATGAGCTAACAATGACCTAGGAAACACATTTTTAACAAGTATTTTCCTTCCACTGTCATATAATAAAAATGGACCCTGGAATTGCAACTAAGATGGCAGTGGAAAGCAGTAGGAACATTTAGATTACAGCACCACCTGGTGATGGCATGTCCACATCCCAGCTCTTTGCAAGGACTGGAAGACTTAAATATGCAATGTGCTGGCTGGTGGCTCACACCTATAATCCTATTCAGGAGGCTGAGATCTGAGGATTGAGGTTAAAAGCCAGCCTAGGCCAAGAGCATATGAGATTATCTCCAATTAGCCAGAAAAGGCCTGAAGTGAATGTGTGGCTCAAGTGGTAGAGCACCAGACTTGAGTGAAAAAGCTAAGGGAAAGCAACTAGTCACTGAGTTTCAAGCCCCAGTACAGGCACAAAATAAATAAAAAATTTTAAAAAGCTAAGGAACAATTTCCAGTCTCTAAGTTCAAGCCCCATTACCTACACTTAAAAAAAAAATGCTGGACACCGGTGGCTCACACCTGTAATCTGAGCTACTTAGGGAGCTGAGATCTGAGGATCATGGTTCAAAGCCAACCCAGGCAGGAAAGTCCATGAGACTCTTATCTCCAATGAACCACCAGAAAACTGAAAGTGGTGCTGTGGCTCAAGTGGTAGAGCACTAGCCTTGAACTGAAGAGCTGAGGGACAGTGCCAGGCCCAGAGTTCAAGCCCCAGGATTAACAAAAAATAAATAAATAAATAGATAGATAAATAAAGTGACTGAATTTTCTTGAATAAAGAGGAGTAGGCCTGTGAACTGTTTTTTTTTAAATCATTTAGACATAATTATAAAAGGCTCTTCTACAGGAAACTAGAAAATAGAAATTAGTTGCGTTTTGAAGTGACCTCACCTAACTCACCTCACCACAGGGCAGTCCTGTGCTGTGGGCACTAGGATCTTGTGACTGTGAAGACTGAGGTTCAGAGAGGTTGGTAACTTGTAATGGGAAAATCTTGCTCTCCAACCTGGATAGTCATACTCCAAATCCTATAATATACTATTTAGTGTTAGATCAAAACTATAAATTTTATACATGTTCAGGCCTATACAACTGAAACCATTTTCTATAGCAGTTGTCCAGGGCTCACTACCTATAGAGAAAAGGTGTTAATGGTTGCCTCTTCACCGTCTGCATTATCCCACAGATGCCATTCCAATTGAATTTTGCTACTAATCATGGCTTTGCTTCCCTGGCCCCTAGATGCCCAAATTGTGGACAGCTTCTTCCAACGTTGTGATTTCAGGTGCACAAATGTGCATACTAGGGTGTCCAGGAGGACAGGCACGGGAAACAGCTAGTGGGACTAAAGCCAAGGCTTTTTTCCAAAACAAGGTCTTGTCATGTAGCCCAGGCTACATGTAATACCTCACACAACATTATAAAGAAGTTTCTTAAACCAACCCATTGGCTCAAGACTAAAACCTTTGCAGATTAGGCTACCACCTTCTTTAAACAAGTATATTTTACAACCAACCCAGTGGGGATCACTGAGAGGTTATTCTGTGTCAGAGATGGGCATGCCATTAAGCTAGCTTCAAATAATGATCAAATGACAACTTTGGTACCATGGCTTTATTGGGTAAGAATTTGAGTCCATCACTGCTCTTTTAAGTGGAGACAACTACAAGTTGTGTTCAGATGAACAGCTGGCCCAGTTCACAGTGTCCCCTCAGCTAAGTCCTAGAAAGATAGGGGCCTTTTCTTATAGCCATGGGGTCATCAGCCTGCTCTGCTTTCTGTCAGTCCCTCCTGTTTTTTGGGTCAGCCCTGCTCCAGCAACTTCCAACTGCTGCACAACTCAAAACCTCTACTTCCCTGGGTTCCTCCACACCAAACCCTTAACCGAGAATACTGTTGTGAGGTGTCCAGAAAAACCGCCAGTTTGTCAGTCTTGGAGAGTCCCATCTCCCTTCATTCCTCTCCACTACACCAAGTATCTGCCTAGTCCCCTGGAGTTTTATCGTCAAGTGAAATAACCAGAAATTTGCATTCATTATTGGTGAAGTTGTTGACACTGCTCTATGTGAGCAGTGAGAGATTTTACAGGCCTCAGGGCAGCAGTTTCTAGCTGATTTTGAATGCAGGGGCCTCCTGTGGTACCAGCAAATGTGCTACTTAATCCTGGCCTCAATTTTTCTTTTACTCCAATTTCCTCACCTAAAAAAAAAAAAAATCTTATAATTGATCTTTTTTGTGAGTTGCCTTCAATCTCCTTTGGGGAGAACTTACAAACAAAATAAAAAGGAAAACTAAGTGTGAGAAATCAGAAGTGGTTACCCTTGGGGAGGGAGCAGTGACTGGAAGGGGACATAGGGTGAAGGGGGTCCTGGAGTATGAGTTATCTGTTTCTTTAGCTGGCTGCTTGTGGTATCAGAGCTTAGCACATTAATAAAAAACAAGTAAAACTCCAGTAAGGACTGGAGGAAATCACACATACACACACACACACACACACCCATCAAAGGTTACTATGGGACACACATTTTATGTAGGTGTTTGGATAAGGACTCCAACATGAGGTTCAAATGAAAGGCAGGACAAGGCCAGAATTCCAGCAATTTCCTATTTGATGGGTAAAGACAGGGTTTCACTATGCAGCCCAGGATGGTCTCAATGTTACAGTCCTACTGTCTCTGCTTCCAGGTGTTGAGATTACAGGCGCCATCAAGCTCAACCTCAGTGGCTTCTGATACTACTGTCCCCCACTTCCTACTTCATCTTCACCACACAGCCACTAAATCTGAGACAGTGGTTAGACCTAGAGGAGAAAGCACTTTGTGGAAGACGTGTTGGACTAGAGCTTAAAGGAAGTACTCCTGAGCTGGATGTGAGGAGCTGGGGCCTTCCTGGCTTTCCCCTAAATAAACTGCTCTAAGGCAGGGCTAAGCCACCCCTTGAGACCTGTGAGCCTCTCCTGAGACCCACTCTTTACAAACAAGTACACAAGGTAAACTTCTATTCCTTATCAGTTTTGCTTTCCTTAATTGTTGTTATCTGGTCTTGAAGGGGTAAAATTCCACAAAACAGACAGCAAGAGTGGGAGTTCTCCTTGCTCCTCCCCTTAACCTCCCAAGTGGTGGTCGATAGATATAGTGAGGTCACCCAGCAACCACCTTCCATCCAGGACCAGTAGACTTACTCTTACAGACTTACAGAACCACAGTGACCTTTATCCAGCCCTTCCTGCCGGAACTCTCCTCTCTAGATGCGGCTGGTTGGAAGGCCCTAGTTTGTTCAAATGCTGTCCTCACTAACAGGGTTCTGCAGCAAGGTAAAGGCAAAACCAGTTTTTGTATGCAGACCAAAAGACTGCTGGTTCTGATTCTTATGCAGAAGGATCCTATGGCAGTGCAGTGCTTGGGAGTAAGGTCAGCAGATCAGTACAGGTGTTTCTCCATATTCCATGCCGTTCTCACCATCCCCTCAGCCACCACTTTCCCATTCTCCAGCAGGAAGCTGGAATAGTCCATTCTTCACAGCTGCACTGGACAGGTGCAGGCACAAGGGTACAAGGACAGGGATGGCTTTGCTGTCCTTCCTCAGAGTGACTGGCCAATTACGAGGGTGCCAGGAATCAGGCAGAACTCTGGCGGCTTCCAGAGTAGGGAAGCAACAGCATTTATGGAGCAGTGGTCTTGAAGAGGCACTGAATTAAAGGGAGAAAGATGGGCAAATGCGAGACTGGAAGAACACAGAACAACCCTTCAGGTTAAAAAGACACATGGCTGTTAGTCTAGGGTGGTGGCCTCATGTCTCTGCAGGCACTTGAGTAATGACAAGGATCTGTGAGAGCTCTGGGGCTCTGGTGCTTCTTCCTGTGGCCTTTTGCAGTTGGATAGGATAGCTATGCCACAGTGCCATGGGCTCTACTTTTATGCCTTGCAGTTTTACTTGCCTTTCTATAGTGCACACACTTGTTCCTTTGTCATACAAAACTTATACATGTTTATTTTTTAAAAAATCAAAATATACAAATATACCAACTACAAAGTGATTTGAAAGTCTTCCAAGGGGAGGCACGGCTGCCAGCTGGTGTTCTGGGCACAGGTCACAGGGTTCGTTCTTTTAGAGGCTTCCGGAATTTGCTCTGAAGGAAAACTCTTGGCACACACAGGCCTTCTTTCTTATTCACTGTCTCTCGAAACACATACTCGTTCACCATTTCCTCATAGCCTGCGTCCACAAAGAGCTGAGCCAGGAACTCTACAAAGTAACAGGTCCATAGCAGTCAGTCTTGGTAAACATCACATCTGCTTTGCAGTAAGGAGAGAAAAACTCGGAATAGCTGCTGTTTTTATTTCACATTACTTTACTTTTTCTTTGGGAAAACTTCTTAAGGTTTTTGGAGAAGAAAAAAAGTTTTAGCCTTTTTCTCTTATTGTCTCCTTGCTTTCTTTCTATAGCATTTTGTTATATGTAGCCCAAGCTGGCTTCAAACTTGAAATCCTATTTCAGTCTCCTAAGTGCTGGGATTACAGGTCTGTACCACCCTGCTTGGCTTCTAATAGGAGAGGGGTGGGGAACCTTCAGCCTGTAGAAGGCCTATGAAAACACTGGTATATGATGGGACAGACACATATGCTTCTGGTCAGCTACCTGTATTGGTAATTTTGTATGGCCCACAATGATGTTATAATAGCCAAATGGTCCTTGAGGGGTAAAAAAAAAAAGGTTCCCTACCTCTAATTAACGTACTCAACTTTTCATGGTCTCCCAACCAAAGAGAAATCTCTAATTGAACATCTAAATTAGTAATGGGTGCAGGACAACTTGGAAGTGTTCCCACCATGTCCTACTAATGAGTTTCCAAATGGAAGCCAAAGTAAAAAGCAACAAAACACCAAACTGGCTACAAGCAAACAAGGCCTGATATGTTGAATTGTTTCCAGGGAGCACTTATTAACAGGAAGGAGGAGAATCTGTGACCAGTGGAAAAAAGTTATGTCACTGTCACAAGGAAGGACACCCCCCCCACCAATCACCTGCCTCCCAGGTAATGGGCGTGCCCAGACCCCTGGAGGCAGGGGCAGGCACTTGGCTGATAGGTTACTGAATTTGTCAGTCCAGTGCCTGGGACTGGGAATTTCCTGAGGATCTGCCCTTGTGTGGACCTATTTAGGCCTGGACCAGCCTAGGACTCCATGCCACGTGTCTCTGTGATCATGTCCTGTGTCCTGGCTCATCTCCAGTCATCATGGCGTCCCAATTCAGCAGAGCTGAATTGGCTTGTTGGTATTGCTCATGTTTCCTAGCTGTGTTAGGTGTATTTGCGTGTTGCAGGCCTTTGTAACAACTGGCGGCCTGCAGCCTGTTAACTGTATAATAAAGGTTCCAATATTCTATATTTTAAAATGTGGCTTCTGAGATTATTCACCTTACAACAATATAAACCAACTAAACAAACCAATAACATACAATGAAACAGAGTAAGTAATCATAAATCTTCCAACAAGGAAAAGCTCAGGCCCAGAGGGCTTCACCGCTGAATTCTTTTAAAAATGAACTAATACCAATACTCCTCAAACTTTCCCCTGAAATAGAAGCAGAGGAAGCAATCCCAAACTCATTCTATGAAGCCAATATCACACTCATCCTCAAACCAGGTAAGGATATAACAGAAAAAGAGAACTTTACAGACTAATTTCTCTGATGAGCACAGATGAAAAGCTCCTCCATAAAATATTAGCCAACAGAATCCAGAAACAAATTTTTAAAAATCATACATTATGACCATGTAAGCTTCATCCACAGATGCAAAGCTGGTTTAACACACACAAATCAGTAAATGTAATTCACCACATCAACAGAGCCAAGGTCAAGAACCACATGATCATCTCAATAGATGCAGAACAAGCCTTTGACAAAATACAAAATCCATTCATGTTAAAAGCTTTGGAGAAACTAGGAACAGAGGAACATTCCTTAAAGCATAAACATTCCTTAAAGCATAAAGACTATATAATGACAGACCACCAGCCAATCACACTAATGGGGGGAAATGAAAAATCATTTCCCCTAAAATCAGAACAAGGCAAGGATGCCCATTCTCTCCACTCCTCTTCAATATAGTTCTGGAATTCTTAGCCAGAGCAATAAAACAAGAAAAGGATGTTAAAGGGATCCCACCACATAGAGAAAAAAGAAATTAAACTATCCCTATTTGCAGATGACATGACCTTATATCTGAAGGACCCAAAAAATTCCATACCCAAACTCCTAGAGCTAATCGACCACTTCGGCAAAGTAGCAGGATACAAAATTAATCCACAAAAATCAGTAGCCTTTCTGTATGCCAACAATATACAAGCAGAAAGAGAAATCATAAAAAAAACTCCATTTGCAATAGCCTCAAAAAAAAGTATCTAGGAATTAACCTAACCTAAAAGATCTATATAGTGAAAACTATAAAATTTTAAAGACAGGGCTGGGAAGGTGGCTCAGTGGTAGAGTGCTTGCCTTGCATGCATGAGGCCCTGGGTTCGATTCCTCAGCACCACATAAGCAAAAAAGAAAAAAG